TGTAAAATATCTGAAATGTTGTTTTGGTCATTCTACAATCTGCGCTCTATCAGAACTGACTCGCACCTCCAAAATCACTGTGCGTTCATTGCGTTTCATCTTCATCTTCTAAGTAGGCCTGACACAACATCTATTTTTTTGTACAATATATTGCCCCAAAATATATTGCGATAAACAATATTATTGTCATTTTAAGACCATTTTTTGGTACTCATTATATAATGCCAGAATGATGACATAATATCATCACAGAGTTCACTCATCCAAAGAATACATCATATTTTGCTGTTAAGATTATTTATTTAAAGTCATTTTATCAATTTAATAATTAGGTATTGGACTCAGAATGTGAAAACGCATATCCTAAATAAAAAAAATGTTAATAAAAAAACTGTAAGAGACTATCTGCCACCGATCTATTTTCTGTTGTCAGACACCCACATTAAAATATACTATAGTAATATACAGTAAATACTATAGTGCTTTTAACCATACTGACACCTCCAAATAGAGTTAAAGATGTTGCGCAATCAGCTAAGGTCTTGCTAGATTTGTTTTCTCTGTATGCACGATATAGATTGCATCAACAAAAATAATTAAGGTTATGTTCATGTGTTGTGTGATAAGTTGATATATTGATTATTGCGACAGGCCTATTTCTGAGGTGCAAGTAATTAATTATATAAGAAAAAAGCCAACAGTGGCTTTTTCTACCAAGGAAAATAGTTTTTTTTCTTTTTGATATTTGCTGTCAGTTTATCAGGAAGTGACAAATGTTGAACTCTTTAACTCTATTAGATATAAACCGTGCTTTATTCTTTAACTTATGCGATATTCCAGTTTTGGTCATAAGTTTAATTGGCATGTTTGGATGGAAACATAGCTCATTTATTGAAACAATCCTCATTTTCACAACACAAACACAACCGTCACTCACTTTATATAGCAGTAAGCTCGTGAGAACATTACAAAAGACAAGCATAACAGGTTATGAATGACGCATCTGTCAAACCCAGAGAAATACTTCAGGACAAATGTACAGTAAGAGCTGATTTGAAATTTCATAATACAAGTCAAAAATAAGAGTACTTACAGAAACAGACCCAAGAGCAGCAGCCGTACAGCAACTTCAGCAATGAAGCCATTATCAATAGTCTTCCTCATCTTTGGTCTTGGTTTGTCATTGAAGTCACCTGCTCCTAAAACCTGGAAGAAAGTGGAAGATTATCATTGTAATAATCTGATGTGTCTATGTGGATACACTAAATAACATATAAGAGAATAAAAAAAAACCTTAAAGTGACAGTTCACCCAAAAACTAACATATCTTATTTCGTGGAAAGAAACTTAAACAGGTTTGTAACAAATGGATGAAGAGTAACTAATGACTAAAGTTTCATTTTTGGATGAACCAATTCATTAATCACCAACAACCTTCCACCAACATTACATGAGTTTGAGGAGATATTATGGGGAAGCTGGTTAGTATTATAAACCCAAACCACTAGAGTGCCCAAATGGGGAGTTAATGTTACATTTGTCGCACCTTAAGCACAAAAGCCTGTGAGAAAATCCAGTTTGAGATGGTATCTGGTTTCTAGTTGGTCATTGACAGACATTTCAATCTGGTTAGCAAGCTACTATGTTCCAAAAACTGCCTGACCAATAATTATAATCAGCCAAATGTTGATTTGTAGATGAAAACCAACTAATCAGTGAGGGACCAGCTACTGACTACAAAGTAAGACCTGCTAGTTTCTTGCTACCTAATGACCACTTTAAATGAGCTAGAAGCTCTACACTGTTCCAGAGTATTGTTTATGGTGCAAGATGCCAGTTTAAACGAACATACACACTTAAACTGTCAGGCGTGTTGCTGGGCTACAACTTTAACTATCACAATGTTGTTTTTCCCCAAAATAAATGTCTAGATTCTAGTTGATGGTTATGGTTAAAACTGAGGTAAAGTTGGTTTTATATTCCCACATTCATTCATTTTTGAACAGTGACAACATGTGGTATGAACTCTACATTATTACCATGCTAGTTTCAATATTAGCATATCTGAAATTGCATGCAAGTGTGACTTCAAAACAACATTAGCACTATTTAACTGACTGTGAACAATGTTGTACTTTGATAGTCATTGGCCGATAATATCATGTACCTGCTTAGAATTTGCAAAGAATACTTTTCTGAAATTATATTATCAATGAGAAAGTAGTAATGTGTGACTATAAAACCAACTTTACCTCAGTATTACTACAAACTGGTTGAGCTGGAATAAGTAACAAACCAGCTTAAAAGAAAAATCAACCTAACAACCAAGTTAAACCAGCTGATGTAGTTAGTCTGGTGGCTAACTAATGACTACTCTGGATGAGCTAAAAACCATGCAGCTTGTTCCAGAGACCAGTTTAGTCAGCTCAAGATGGTAACTGCCAGGTCTGCTGGTTGAAGATGTTCTTAAAACAACGAGAAACCAGTAACCACCTTAGAAACTATTCAGTTTATCAGTACAGAACTGTTAAAAAGTCCTTATCTAGATTCTAAATTGTTATTAGTTGACACCCACCATTTTGCAAAACCCACTTTAACTTAAGTACGTCTAGCTAGCAGTTGATAATCAAGTAATGACCACATCAAATCAGTTTTAACCATCTACCATGTTCCCAAAACCAGTTTAACCAGGTAAAGAAAGTGTGAACAGCTGGCAGACACAGTCTGACGATGATCTAAACAACGTATACAAGCTGTCAAATGTGACTAGTCTAAAATTGACATTTACAACTACAAGAAACCAGCTACCATGTTTCAAAATGCAGCTAAATGTAGCGTTTTATTTCTCAAAACAGAAAGCAAGGGTCGATATCTCCAAGTGAAACAGCCAGAGCACCACTATAGAGGTAAACTGTGAATCCCTGAGCAGATGTGCCGACACCAGTCGCGACCCTCCGCGGCACATCTGTGATATTATTTGCTTACGAACATTTCCGCAAACACGACATCGCGCATCCTCCGTCCATTGTCTGCAGCGCGGGCTTGAATACAGACCTTCGGATTCTTTCCTTTTCCGTCTAAACCGTCGCCTCGTCGGCTGTTGAGAGCAGCCACCGGAGCAGAACCTCGTGATGTCTATCATATATATTTGACATGTCCAGCAGCCGCAGAAGATGAGCAGCGATGAAGAGCAGCTCTGACGAGGCACTGCGAACACTGACATGAACACGTCAGTACTCTCAGTGATGCTCGAATCGCGAGGGAGTCGGTTGGTTGAATGGGTTCTATTGAACGAATCAATCGAGTCGATTCGCAGAGCGAAAGACTAGTTTGTAAAAAAAAAAAAAAAAAGCTATATTTTGATTTTGAGGGATTACAAAAATATTCCTAACCAAAGCACCATCTTACCTAAGTTGTTATCAGTCTCAATAAGTCCTACGATTGTATTATTATTTTTGATCAAATTAATGATTTCTGACTGGACTGGAGTCATGAAATACATAGATTTTTTTATTATTTTAAAATACAATTTCTAAAATATATTGAACAAATAATGAAAATTTAGGTGTTTTTAGGCGCTCTGCTACGGCCACTGTTTTCTGCACAAGTTTCATGTGGTTAATTATTTATTCAAACCTTCGTGCAATTTGAATAATTTAACCAAATATTACCTTTTGAACCTCTGTGCGATGGCACTAATGAATCGATTCACATGAATGAAACATCCAAATCATAAATCATCATGATTCAAGCGCCCTCTAGAGATTCTCGAAAGCATGACAATCTGTGTAAAAGCATAGCCTACACTCACCGGTCACTTTATTAGGTACACCTTACTAGTACCAGGTTGGACCCCTTTTGCCTTCGGGACTGCCTTAATCCTCCTTCGTAGTATAGATTTAACAAGGTTCTGAAAATATTCCCCAAAGATTTTGGTCCATATTGACATGATAGCATCATGCAGTTGCTGCAGAATTGTCGGCTGCACATCCATGATGTGAATCTCCCATTCCACCACATCCCAAAAGTGCTATTGTGTTGAGATCTGGTGACTGTGGAGGCCATTTGAGAACAGTGAACTCATTGTCATGTTCAGGAAACCAGTCTGATATGATTAGGCTAGGGTATTGACATGATGCATTATTGGTACTGATGGGCCCAAAGTGTGTCAAGAAAATATCCCCCACACCATTACACCACCACCACCACCACCACCAGCCTGAACCATTGATACAAGGCAGGATGGTTACATTTACAAGGCGATGCTTTCATGTTGTTGATGCCAAGTTCTGAACCATCCGAATGTCATAGCAGAAATCAATACTCATCAGACCAGGCAAAGTTTTTACAGTCTTCTATTGTCCAATTTTAATGAGCCTGTGTGAATTGTAGCCTCAGTTTTTTTGTTCTTAGCTGACAGGAGTGGCACTCAGTGTGGTCTTCTGCTGCTGTAGCTCATCCGCCTCAAGGTTCGCTGTGTTGTGCGTTCAGAGATGCTCTTCTGCATACCTCGATTGTAACAAGTGGTTATTTGAGTTACTGTTGCCTTATCAGCTTGAACCACTTTGGTCATTCTGCTCTGATCACTAGCATTAACAAGGCACTTGCATCCACAGAACTGCCGCTTACTGGATATCTCAATAAATCAGCAGTTTCTGAAATACTCAGACCAGCCCATCTGGCACAAACAACCATACCACATTAAAAGTCACTTAAATCACCTTTTTCCTCCATTTGATGCTCGGTTTGAACTGCAGCAGATCGTTTTGACCACGTCTACATGCCTTAATGCATTGAGCTGCTGCCATGTGATTGGCTGATTAGAAATCTACCTTAACGAGCTGCAAGACAGGTGTACCTAATAAAGTGGCCGGTGAGTGTATTTCCCTCATAAACTATATTCTACCAAAAATAAATACTCAGCGATACACACTTTTAGCAAACTGAAATATGTGATGTCATCAATGAAGACAAACTCGATTCAAATGCGGATTCAAAGAAACAGTTGAACATTCATTACAGTTTATTGAAGTCAAACCAGGCAAGTCTGAAAACGTTTAAATCTGTGGAATGTCGCTTAAAGTACTCTCAGAATAGTTTATGAATTCTGAAGAAATACATCTGAAAAGTTGGTCAAATAAAATACAAGAAAAGAAAATGTACAAAATGTTTTCTACGTTCACAAACATTCAGAAGCAATATTACAAGCATTCTTATGACACTACAATATAATGACAATGGAGTTCTGTTGGTGTTGTTTTTTTTTTTTTTTCATTTTTTGTTTTTCATTTCCGACTATGTACAATTGATCAAGCATCATTCTCATACACAATGCAATGACACAGGCTAAATAACATAGCCAAAAAAATTACTATCCATGAAGTACATCATTAGAAAACTTGGAGAGGACATACATTCTACCCAAGCCATATCATTTAGGATACGTTTTATTCAGTTGGAGTGTGTGATGGTATTTCAATGCGCGTGGTGAAAAATATTACAAGAACACATTAATCTTTACACAAACTCTGTAACTCAGTAGCAAGAATTAGTAAACAGTCTATTTAAAAGGAATGTGAAATCAGTACACGGAAATCAAAGTGTAAGCTGGTAGGACACCGCCTTTAGTAAATTTAGTTAACACAAAGAACATGCTCGGATAGCACAAAATGATAATGACACCTTTAAATACACAAAGAAAATGTACACAAAATACAGTGCACTGACACTAAACACTGGAATCAATGGAGGTAATACACTTTTTAACATTTGATGTGGAGAAAAATCGATAATCAGTTACAGTCAGATCAGTGATTGAAGAAAATGTCACAAAAAAAAAAGACGTCCCGCATGGGTTAAAAACCGATGATAAAAATATCATTGGCAATTTCTAGTGATTATCCATGTTGGATGAAACATACAAAGAAGAAAAGTAAAATGAATAGTACCAAAAGTGACCAGGCATAACAAACCAGCCAACTGCATTTTCTTGATATTTTACGTTATAAACATAAGGGCAAACATTGGTATTATAAGAACAAAAGTGCCTACGATTTTTAAAAATAAAAGCAAGCTATATAAAAATAAATGTAAACTATAAAAATATCACATATCAGAAGATAAACAAGCAAAAAAAGAAGAAAAAAGACCCAAAATGCCTTCCTTGTTTCAAAGATGCAGATGCAAGTAAGAGCATACGATATTTTCATAAACATACAAATCTCAGTTTGGCAGTAAATCAACAAGATTTCTAATATTTGTCGTCGGATGCAAGAATCTAGCACAGATATCAATGGAAGCTGGTTTCTGCGAAGGAATTGGTGTTAAAATGGGTAATTGTTACTTTTTAAGCTCAATTCTGACTTCCAACTTTAAGTTAACTTCACTTAATTTCTCAATTGAAATTTGAGTTGCAAGACAAAAACTTGCAGATGAAAATCTGAATTATGAAGTGAAAACCTTAGAAAAAATTAGAAATGGTAAAGTTAAAGTTGCAAATCTGAATTTCAAACTGGTGAAATCTGATTTTTAATTTGAAGAAATAACGTTTACTCTTATTAGCGAATACAAAACTAAATTGAAATTGTGGTTTTTGAGAGGAAGGCAGGTCACAATTGAGTAAAAATGACAGAATTATTAGTTATAATCTCAGCAATATGATGAATTGTGAAAAGGTTAATAAACTTACAAGCCTGAAAACAATTGAAATTTGAGTTCCTTCCAACTTTCGGTTAAATTCAGTTACCTCTCCTCAAACTGAATCAGAGTTGACAGTCAGATCTGCATAACAACCTCAGAACTGTAATTTAATTTGGCAGATTTATTGCATTACTTTTTGATTACAATTCTGAGGTTGTTATGTAGATCTGACTGTCAATTCTGATTACATTTGCGGTGAGTTAAGTGAAGTTAACCCAAAGTTGGAAAGAACTCAAATTTGAATTATTTTCAGGGTTGTAACTTAAGTTCATTAGCTTTTTGTAATCATAATGGTAAAATCTTAGCCATATGATGATGATAATGATCAATTGTGGAAACAAACTTACAACCCTAAAAACAATTGAAGTTTGATTTGCAAGACAAAAAAACAAACAAACAAACAAACAAAATGAAATTTATATGTGAAGGGAAAACGTCAGAAATGTGAGAAATAATCAAATGCTTGGCATTAAAAGTGGCAAATTTGAATTTTAACCCTTGAAATCTGATTTTTTAATTAGAAGAAATCACATTTACTCTTTTTAATTTTCACAATTAACATTTTTCTCTGATTTGTCAAAGGAAAAAAAAGTAAAACTTTATTTTGATGGTTCCTATTGCACATTTTGTTGACCAAAGTTGCATTGCCAATTACTCGTCATTTGAGTATTAGTAGACTGGCTGCTTTGTTGATACTGCTCTTTCAACAGACATTTAACTGACTATAAGAAACTTTGCAAGTACATTAACTTACACTAACCTCACAGTCTACTTATAATCTATAGAGAATTAGCTGCATGTATATGCAATGCAACTTCAATTCAACAAAAAAGCGTTAAAAGGGACCATTAAAATAAAGTAATACCGAAAAAAGCTAGAATTGTGAAATCTCTAAGTGATACTCACTGTAGAGCTACATGGGCAGAGCTCCAGCTCCTCTTTGCAGCACTTCTTCTACAAGTGAGGTCACTGGGGATTGGGGTTAGAGGCGGGGTAGGTGTACACATCAAAACAGCTTCTAGGAGGAGGAGCTGGAGCTCAAACTCATCCTCATTGGAGTGAGCTCCACCCAAGTAAGCTCTGCAGCGAGCACCCAAATCACAGTAACCTCATTTCTTTTTTTAAATTCTGTGGCAGAGAGAAGCTTCCACTGATATCCTTCAATAACACTCCATTGAGACCAAAAAAAAAAAAACTAAGAATAAATATAGAAATGAACAAAGGCAGAATGGGCATCATGATTCAAGTAAAATGAAACTTGCAGCGCTTTCCCTCCTTTCCATAAAGTGACAAACATACTGGTGGTGGCGTCTCACATATAATACTTGTACTGTGGTCTATAAAAAGTTCATGGTGAAATGACTAAATATTACGTATACGAAGCCCATGTGCCGAAGCCGTCGAGATCTAGTCTTCATCCGCACAGCTACCAGTAACTAGAGAGTAACAGTTCCACTTTACAGCACAGGCAAAGCTATTGAGTAGATTCACATCAAGTACAAATCACACAGAGGATTATGCTACACTCTGCTGTCAGTTGTACAGCCTCTTCCACGTTAGTTTAGCAAAGTCATCACAACTAAACAGAATCCGAAAGAGATACCAAACAAAAATCTTTGAAATGAGTCTTGACTGTACAGCAATATAGTAGGTGTGAAACCAAAATAAGAAAGGCGGATATTTACACTCGGGAAAATGAAAATTGAAACAAATCGGGAAAACAAAATCACATTAAAGATTGTACTCACAGTCTTACAACTTGCGCTGCTTGTAAAAATGATAAGCGTTCCTCATGTGTGTGTGTGTGAAATTACGCACTGGCACCTGGTCAATACTCACAATGGTAAATATCTGTTTAAGACACATGGCAGTGTTGGAGTATATGTGGTTTAACACTACACCGTCAAACGTTACTGTTGTACACGTCAGAACTGATCTTGTCGGCGGCCGATGGTTATTTACTAACACTTTTAACTCTTTAATTACGCTGCGTCTTTACTCGATGGAGCGGAAGATGACGGCAATACAGTACCGGCCAAGCAATAATGTAATTTCGCTGACAAAAAGGGCACATATACAACAATACGATAAGTGATATCAAATTGACTAATACAGATGAATAATACTGTACATTGTGAATGGATGTAAACATCGACATAAATATATTAATGATTATATATCTTACAAATCACAAACTCACTGGAATGGGGCGGCAGTTGAACAAACCTCGTATGTCTTTTGAATCGATCATTTTTTTTGTCGTTGTTTTGTTTTATTTCGATGTTACACGAGAGGCTCGTATTTGGACATGTAGTGAAATCCTACCGGCGAGGGGCGAACGGTTGCGCCCGACACATATTACAACAGTCTTTGCTATTTACATGAGGTACATAAATAAAGTTCTTGGTTTAAAGTGTTTATAGAGTGTTTTTTTAAGTACCATATATATGGAAACTGACCTTGCCGCTGAAGGCGTCTTTTAACCGAGGCGTTTTGTTTGTGTTTTTTGCCGAAACAAAGCACGTCTGAAAATTAGCTGTGAAATTTTGCTTATAAAACCAGAAATGAGTCGCTTACGTTGTTACATAAGCCCGTATGAAATTGACGTGAGGCCGTAAATTGTGATATGTTTGAAAAAATTCATACCAGATTTGGAATGAATCAAACCGGTTCATCGAGTCCACTTGGGTTAATTGAGAAGTGGACCAGCGAGCTGCATGTGTCGACTACTTTCAACTTTCGTGGAACTTGATGTGGTTTTCTGAAGCTTTGGCCAAATCACTCCCCGTCTCCTGTTTCTTCCTCCTCCTCTTCCTCTTCCTCATTGGCGTTGCCGTCAAGTGGCTCCTTCTTTACAGTGACCTGGCTGCGGTTCGCCTGGGGTCCTAAGGGTCTCTTGGGGTCGTGGTTGGAGCAGCAGGGCTGTTTGTCGAGCGCAGACACTGCCAGCTGTCCTCTCTCATGCTCTCGGCAGAAGGAAGCGGGACAGAAGTGACAGAAAGAGGTGGCGGTGCGCTGGCAAACACTGCACTGATGCCAGGGGCATTCCCATCGTCCTGCGAGAGAGACACACAAAAAACAGATCTATCACATAACACAAAAACCAAGCTTAAGAAAACTTTTTACAATTCTCAATTTTTACAATTCCTTCTCCGTTCTGTAGTTGTTGTTTTTCTCAACACCTTCTTCTGACTGTTTTGGATTATTAATGGACTGTAATGGCCCGTTTCCACTGAGTGGTAGGGTACAGTATGCTTTTATGGCTGTTTCAACGGTCAAGTACCTAAAAGCGAACCGTACCATATCACTTTTTTTGGCCCGTTTCCACTGAGGTACAGTACAGTACAGGTGGGTACGGTTCACCTTTATCAAGCTCGCATTTCCACTGCCAAAAGAGTACCCTTTTGGTGGGCGTGGTGTACAACAAAGTTACAGACAAAGTCATTTTTGCTTGAGGAAATGTCAGTAAAGCCATTAGGGTCGTTCACATATCATATGAGAAGCACTTCTCACAAAACAGATGCTTTAAACACATTAGCACTTGTGTAAAAATGTTCATCTATGGACAGGATTTGATTATAACTGCAGATCAATGAGTGCGAAATAGCCTACTGTAAAATGATTAAATAAATGCAACATAAATGAACACATACAGACCCTTACAGTCTCTGGTGTTATCAATTACAGAAAAACTACACACAACATGTATTTAGTCCTTTTTTGGGTTCAAAAACAACTTGAAATATAGCCCACAATCAGTGCAAACCTCTCATATGTGTATTTAATCTTCAGCAGCATGTGTAGTCTCTTGTTAGAGAGTAATTCCGTCATTCCAAATTCATAATAGTCCAAAGGGTGAGGATAATAATTAAACATGGCAGTATGTTCATCTTTTAGGGTGCAGAATCATCATTTGCTGCAGTTTTTTTTCAGTTTCACCTTTGTTTTTCCTGTAAGGATCGGATATCAAAGCGCTTCAAAAATCAAGTGCACATTATTAATCTGAGCTCAAAAAGTTTGTTGTTTCAAGTATAGACGCGTGATCGCAAGCTCTCTGGAGAAAGTGAAGCCGCTCGCACTTTTAGACGGGCTCATAAAACAACAACAGGATACAGCAGATTTTATTCTTCTTGCCTTTATGGCTGTTCATTAAGACGATGACAAGGTTTGTTTGGGCTAGGGTCGACTATTGCTTGTTTTTATATGTATATATTATTACGGTTTAATGTCTCAGCTGTGTTTTTAAAAATGGTGGTTTTTGTTTTATTTCTCCTGATTCTGTGAGTGACGCATCTCTGTAAACCAATAGCGTGTATAGCTCCGCCATATGATACCCTTTGGGCCTGTTGGTACACAAAGGGTGAGCTAAAAGTGGTACGGTACGGTTCGCTTTTAGGTACCCTTTGACAGTTGAAACGGTCATTAAAAAAAACAAAAAACAAAACAAAAAAATACCGAACCATTCTGTACCATTCAGTGAAAATGGGCCATTTGGGTACCCTTTCGGAAGGGTACCTAGCACAACAAAAGGGTACCAAAAAGTGGAGCAAGATGCGCAGCTGAATGCTATGGGTTAAGAGAGATATGTCACTTGCTCATGAACAAGCAGGAGAATGAAAACAAAAAAAGGGTCATTTTTAAATTCACAGCCGAGACATTACACCGTATTTTTATATACATATAATATCAAGCCATGGTCGACCCAAGCTCAAACAAACCTTGTCGTCGTCATGATAAACAGTCACAAAGCCAAGATGAAAAGCAGAACTAGCCCATGCCGGTTTAGCTTTTTCGCTTGCGCTCGCTGATCGTCTATATTTGGAATAATGAACTTCTTGAGCTGATAATAATAACGTGTGCATGATTACTCAAGTGGTTCTGACATCCGATCCTTTCAAAAACGAACAAACACGGGAGTGATGTGCGAAAAGACAAAAGAGAAGCTCAACAAAAAGCAAATGATTGTTTTATCAACCTAAAACATTAACAAACTGCCATGTTTAATTATTCCTTTTTTTTAAATGCACTGTTATTATGATTATATTCACAAAATATTTCAATATTTTACAACCCATTTTGTCATGCAGGTTTTCTGTCTGATATACATTATTTTACATCTCGATTTTACAACATGATGTGATAATGTGGTCAAAATGAAGAATCATTTTACACAGAAGAATAATAATGGCAGAGCAACACAATCAATTACCAGAAGAGACCGTTTAGTCTTTTAGCAGTTTAGTCTTCTCAGTTAGAGCCAGTCATTTCTGGACTATGGATGATTCAACATTCAAATACAAGTTAATGTAAGGTAATGTAATGTCATGTGTAAATCTTTTATCTAGCTATACGTTTTGTCTTTTTGGTGTATGTAACTTTACTGTTATTGTGTGTATAATATTGCGTTTTTTTTTTTTTTTTCGCGTTTTTAAAATCTGTCAGGAGGAAACAGATGAAAGTTAGCTCTGGTGACTAACCCTGGCCTAATTACAGTTTTATTGTTCATTAATGAGCATTGTCCCTGCTAAATAAAATAAATTTCAGAATTCCAAATAGTAAATGTAAATAATTTTGATAAGAGATTCTTGCTTGCATGCATCCATCCTTTCTTTTTGGACTTCAATACCTCACTTCTGTCCAAGAAAATAAGGCTCGCATGTATTAGCTGATAACAATAATAATGACGACAACAACAACATTTAAATACATTTTAAGACTTATTGATACATCCTAAAAGTGATATACTAATCAAAATTTTAAACATTATTTTTGTAGAAATCTCAATTCCCATTAAGCACCATGAAACGAATCAATAAAATCAGCTAGAAAAGAGCTACATGGAGTGATGGACAACACATACCATATGGAGGTTTGCTCAGGTTGAGGCAGAGGAGATGGTAAGCCTTCGGACAGTCCTTTTTATCACACATGACCAGCTCTCCTCCTTCACCACAGCAGTAGCAGTAAAGCTCGTGGGTCTGCTTGCTTTCAGTCTTCAGCTTGCGCTTCTTGGGCTTCAGTTTAGCATTGCGCACCTTCTCCTCCCGCTCCATAACCACTGCACTCTACATGAAGACAAGGTTTAAGACAGGATTCAAGATCAGCCGATAGATGCTCCAGTGAAAAAAAAAAGAAAAGAAAAAAACAATGCGCAATGTCATTTGAAATTAAAGTGACAGTTACTAAAATGGCAAATTGGGTGAGTTGAAACTGATTTTAAGTCTCAAAATGCCTGCCTGCGGGCCATTTACGGCCTGCCCTCCTCCCTCCAGCCCACAATTGACATTAAAAATATGACAAGATTTGACCCGCCAAAGCATATTTTTAAACCACTATCATTGTTGTGCAGTTGCATCTTACCACTTGGGGTTTTGACCTGCCACCAAGTCGACATTTATAGTACTGCATACAGATTCGTTTTACTTTCATTTTCTCTGTGTACGGTCGAAAGTAACACACATGAATTTGAATTCTATGTCCGTAAGTGCTCTATTTTTACTAAAGCTATATTTTTGTAAGTATTCAAAAGTTATTTGATTATTAACAGTTTTATACTGCTTTTATTTTGTTGTACAAACACTTCTTCATGGCTTACACATTATGCTGGTGGTGTAACAATAATGATAATTTTGCTAATATTCAAATAATCTCATTTTAATAGATTTTCCTCATATACATATTAAGATTTGCATAAAAACTATGTACATTAGTAAAATGACACTGCTAGTTGAATTAAACTTGTTAAAGTACATGTGAATATGTACACACTTTTCCCATCTTTGTTGTAGTTTTACAAAAAAGAAAAGATATTGGGAAGAACAATAGCCAGTAAATTCACTTAAGTTACCCAAACTGCTTTCTGCTGTTCCTATGCTTTTACACAATACATTTGGTTGAGACAGAATAATAATTATTATGCCATTATTAGTTGTTTTTTCACAGCTTTTAAACTACTTTTCGATATGTACTAGGGGTGTAACGATTTATTGTTGTACGATTTATTGCGATGCAAAAATGTCTCGATATGCATCGTGGCGTTATGACGATTTGATTACGATATGACGTCCGTTTTCTCTTATTAGTTGTGCTGTTTGCACGTGAGCTACGTTCCACCTGCTGTCGCACGTGAGTTCAGATTGCAGCAGCAGTAATGTTAGCAGACCAAGATGAGTGAAGTTGAAATAGAGGATGGCGCATCCTCTCAAAATCAGACGTCTGGCAACATTTCGGTTGTACAGTCATTGCTTTAGACTCGTCCGCTTTTTGACACGCATACTGGGTCAAACATAGCCGAAGTTTTAAAGTCTTCACAGTGATTTACATACTTTGCACAGCGACATGGATACCTCCTAATGGTGTTGAAAGAGTCACACACTGTATTTATGAGGTACAATTTACCCTAAAATGTCATTCTGTCTTCATATAATGATGTATTGGCGGCCGCAAAATCACACATGACGTGAGCTGTTACTACAGAGGGCGGACTATGATAGACGCGCGCGTATGGCAAGCCGTTTTAGCATTTAAACCTTTGATCTGACTATCCATAAATATATTTAGAGATATCTCTAATTATATATTGACTAGTCATAATTATAATTCGACTAGTCAAAATATAATTAGAGATATTTCTAAATGAATTTAATTAAATATGAATTAAATATATTTATGGATAGTCAGAACAAAGGTTTAAATGCTAAAACGGCTTGCCATACGCGCGCGTCTGCTTCAGTGAACAGAACCTGGGGGGTATTCCAGAAAGCTGGGTTAACTTACCATCTGCTAAAACCTAAACTCTCGGTTGATTTACCCAAAACCTGCTTACCGCGAGTATGTTGGTTCCAAAACAGGTGACAAGAGTTAGTTAAATCAACCTCCTGAAGATAACCGCGGGTTAATGCGCGTGCACGGCACACACCTGAAGGCATTTTCAGTAGATCGCCGAATTCACGAGTCACCATAGAAAGTCACGGTAAGAAAAAAAGGGCAACGCACTTTACAGAGTCGAAGCTGGAGGTTTTAAACACAGAGATTACACATCTGCTTCAACGAAGGAAAGAAATATAGAATAAGAAATAGATAAGAAAATAAAAAATAAATAATAAGAAAATGTATTAGTTCATTAAATTACACATGCCACCCTCCATTTTATTGTAATGATAAATTAAACTACTCTTTAACATCCTTTTTGAGTATGTTGTGTAACCATTCATGCATTTAATTTTCCTTCCATTAATTTCTTAAGGCCACAATATGTGTATTGACAAATAAGGCTTATAGAAATTGTAATCTTTCTGGAGCTAGAACTCTGTCCAAAGTCATTAAACACAGAAACATTATTATTAAAGGTAATATTTAATTACTGGAGCTCTTTATTTAACAATTGAGGGAATTATATTTTTGAGGGAATCATATTTTTTAATGTTTTATATATGTTCAGAATTGATATTAAGTTTTTCATATTTTTGATGTTTTATATATGTTTAATATTGATATTAAGTTTTGCTATTTTTTTACTGATGAAATGCTTTGTTTGAAATATGAGCCTATTGCTTTGTTTGAAATGTGAGCCTGTCGCTTAAGCTTCGCTTCTAGAGAAACGGGGTTTTCCACAGAAGTAAGACGAGAGATCCGAGCTCATGGACAGCTGTGCTTTGGTACAGGATGTGGTTTAACACCTGCAAGGAACCAGCCGTATCTCAGTCTGTGTAGGGGTGCATGTGTGTTTTGTGTGTGTGTGTGTTTGCAGGCTACTGGCAGATTCTAACTGGTTGAAATGAGATCTGATGATGGGAAGGCGAATAATGGATTGGAGGCTCATCGAGAGTGGGGAGGAGACAACCAAGAATAAAAACTATTGTTTTATGTTTGTACGGCAATACTGGAGCGCCCAGTTTGCCTTTTCATGGTGTCTCTTCAGTATTCCTGGGCTCAGCATTGTTGATCTGATCCTTCGTTTATTAAACTTTGATTTCTCGATAAAGCTAAGTTTCCTGCGTCTACTTTCAAGCGAATCCTGAACTCGGGGAGGGAAAAACCATTTTCCTACAATTTGGAGGGGGCACCCGGATTCGCTCAGACGCTTCGTCGAGTTGGAGGACGATCTCAAATCAACCTCTCTGCAGAGCTTCTGATAAGGTAAGCAGTCACCTTTTTAATAAAAGTACTGCAAGATTGGAATTACCAAATTTAAGGTTGATTGGGGATTGAATACCAACATAATCCGTAAATAATTTGAATTAGATCAACAATGGCAATTAAAATGAGTTGACCCGGCGTGGTTACAAGGTTTAAAAACTCATTCTATTAATTGATTATCATTGAGTCGACCCGGCGCGGTTAAACAAATTTATAAAGACTCAGAATTGATTATCATTGAGTTGACCCGGCGCGGTTAAACAAATTTATAAAAACTCAGAATTGATTTATTAAACGAGTCGACCCGGCGTGGTTAAACAAATTTATAAAGACTCATACTATTAATTGGTTTATTATTGAGTTGACCCGGCGCGGTTAAACAAATTTATAAAAACTCAGAATTAGTAATTAAAGGAGTTGACCCGGCGCGGTTAAGAAAATTTATAAAAACTCCGCATTGGCAGTCAAAAGAGTTGACCCGGCGAGGTTAAGCAAATTTATAAAAACTCTGAATTAGTAAATAAACGAGTTGACCCGGCGTGGTTAAGAAATATTATAAAAACTCGTATCGTGTTTTCCTGGCATGGTTGAGAATTGAAGTTTACCCGGCGAGGTTAACTCACTCGTAAAAACACATAAAAGAGAGTAAAAGGCAAAACGTTAAAGGGTGCAAATTTGTGTTAAAGTGTCAAGTGTGTGCGGATTCCTGAATGAGTGTATGTGAGTGAATGAATATCTCCGTATTTGGGAGGTCAGAGTGCTGCGCACCCTCTCTGGACCGTCACTTAAGTGTGACCCGGTAGGAACGGACGCAGCATTCTGGGAGCTCAGAGAGGAGAGTGTGATTGATGAGCCCTATATTCATAGGGACTGAGAGCATGTGAATAAAACATCGAGTGAATGAAGGAATCATAATTAGATGCTGAAAGTGTTATATTACAAACCAAGAAAGGTGAAAAATATTCCTAAGTGGTGGGTGTGTAGATTATTAGGACATAAGGAAGATTGTGAGGTGTGTGACCCCAATAGGGAGACAAAACCATTATTAAAATGACAACATATAAAGAGACGTGGGATGGTATCTGTAAGCAGATAATACATCACACCGAACCAAAAGACAGAAAGAAAATAAGTAAAACATTAGAAAGTCAGTGGACATATCTCTCAGGTCTAAATGGCTGGACAGAGACAGCTAAAAATCAGGGAAAGTTACTGAACATACTTTTGACAGAGGAGAAAAGGGCAGATACAGATTTGGTACTGGCCAGACAAAATAGGGACAAAACTGGGGTTTGGAAGAAGGGAGCAGCAAACAGAGAAATAGAAAAAGCAGAAGATAGACTGAGACAATGGAGCAGGGTAGCTGCAGCCATGGTTACCAAAGTAAAAAGTGCTGTGTGGGCAGATCAAAGGGACTCACCAGAGAGGCCCCCACCCTATAGTAGTGCAGAAGAAAAAACCAAAACCCCCTCAGCACCAATGCAGATGCCAGTAATGATAGTAAAAGGGGGAGAAATAGAAACTACTACTAAACAAGCTAACAAAGATTTCAAGTTCATGATAAAACAGGGCGCTATAGAGGTCGAAGAAACAGAGGAAGATAAAAAAAAACAAAGACAGTTGAAAACGGCCCTAAAGGAAGTTCAGACTAAAATAGAAATAGAGGAAGCAGTAAAAAAGGAAATAGCTAAACAGTTCACCACAAGCATTCAACTCGCAAGAGACAGTGTAAACCAGACAATGTACAGGGTAGCAGGAATGGAGGAAAGAACACATATAACATTGAAACAACACAAAGAAAAGCTAGAAAATATTAAGTCACAGCTGTTGAAACTACAGCTGGAAGAGGCTAAAGCTAAATTACAGAATAAGATGGTCGTAAGACAAAATACACAAATGCAACAAGTCATTGCTCCTCTGACTCATG